ATAATACAATGCTTCATTTAGACTAGTAAAAAAAGTCATAAAAATGTTGCCTAACAAGATGTCCAGTGCTGTTGTATTAAATAATAGAAATAATATGAATTCAATTGGGTTAAAATCAAATGCTACTGGTCAGAACTGTGTTGTAATAAAATAGTGGATGATATGTAAGCATTGCCGGCAACCCAGAAGACCAAAGCTCTAAAAACATGTCTCCTAAAATTTTGAAAAAAATAGGCCACCTCAATATATCACCTCCCCCAGCTTCTAACCCCCCTTCAAAGAAAAGAGGCCACCTCATTATACCCACTCCTTCCCTCTGCTTCTAGCCTCCTCCAATAGAAAACTAGTTCAATATACCCCCTCCCTCCCCCAGCTTCTAGCTCTCTCCAATAGAAAAATGGGCCACCTCAGTATGCCCACTCCCCCAGCTTCTAGTCCCCCTTGTAATGAATGGCCTCTCCCTAACCCTCTCCAATGAGGACCTCACAGCAGTATCAAAACAATCACTTATTTAACATATTTTCCAGCATTATAATGCATAAAATGTGTGCTTGTGTCTATTTCTACTGAAATCAAAGCCTGTTTCTGCCTTGTCTGTTATTTTTCAATTTTTAAAACATCTTTTGCCAAACATATTGCTTCTCAATGACTTTCCATGACCTTCACTTAAATTCCATGACTTTCCAGGACTGGAAAATGAAAATAACAAATTCCATGACTTTCCAGGTTTTCCATGACCTGTATGAACCCTGGACCTTGGATATCCAGAGGGGAAAAAGGGGTGAAAAGATATTGGGAGGGGGAGATATCTTCTTCCATTTTGACATTGTAATGGAGTTTCTCAGGCAATGGCATACATTTCTTTAAAGTTTTTTTTTTTTTCAGGGAACCCTTCAATGGATGGCGGCGGGACGGGGGAGTGGGGGAGGATGTAGTAATGCGGTACAAACTATGATGATTGGTGCTTTACCAGAAGAGTGAAAGCAACGGGATTCCTCTGTAGACCGCTGATTGCTGTTAACACTTTCTAAACATCTGAAAGCACCTGTTAAAAAAGAAAAAAAATGAAATACAAGAATCTTGGGTACGCTACATACAGTTAAGTTTACATCTACATTGCAAATATTCGCCCTTCATAGCTTCAGAGTTGCAACCAACGAAAGAGAACTCAATTAAAGAATGACCGACATCCGCTGTATTTTTGGACCTCGATAAAATAGTTGATTCAAATGCACGTCGATTATATTGTACAAGTTTTCTTACTTGATCCACACAACCGCAAAGCAGCTATCGATGGACGAACGCATGTTGGACGAACCTTGGCCGCCATGTTGAATTTTGTTCGTTGTGACCGCTGGTCGCACCACGGTTTGGTGGCACTTGTCCGCGGAGACCT